AATCTCGACGTACTAGTCTCGTGTCGTGGATTTTCAATTGTTGGTTCCATTAGATTGTCTTTTCTTAGTTCGGTATTAATGTTTAGATATCTACAATTTGAGACTTATGGTATATACATGAGTGTTTCTTTGTTTGGATTATTTCGCTCGACGTACTATGTCTCGTGTTATAGGTTTCTAAATGTTAATCCCACTTAGATACGGGAAAAATGAATCTAGATAGATTATGCTTAATAGATAGAGCATTCACTCCATCTAGCATCCCTTCCTCTGGGGACGGATGGAGGTAATCTTGTTGTAGCGCTCTGACGCTCTTGTTATTGTTCTTTTTCTTTTAAATTACTTTTCCGATAGTTCGGAGTTTTGGAGAGCCGCAGGGTGACGGAGTTCTGGCATAGTCGCCGTCGCATATTTTTACTTGTAGAGACTCCACTGTAGTTTTGAGTTTTATCCAGACATTAGAGTTTTATTTTCATATTGTAAAGGCAATGTGCATTAGTATGATTTTTAGTTAATTCATGTTGAGATATTTTTATTATTCAGATATCAGATGTATTATAGTTGAGACACGATTCTTTTTTATTTATGAGATATCTCTTCTATATCATGTCTATTATATTTATTACCTTTATTTTGCCTGTTTTGTACCTGCACTTCTATTTGATTTCACTAGAGGATATTGTTGTGATTGGTGAAACGTGTTTATGCACAGTGTGGGTGCATGGCTGGTTTGACATCTCTGGTTTTACCTTGGACTGCAGCCTTGTGTGAACCCAGGGGCATCACAATCATGCTATACTTATAGTGTATCATGCTATACTTACTGTATATCATGCTATACTTACAATATATCATGCTATACTTACTGGATATCATGTTATACTTACAGCGTATCGTGTTATACTTACTGGATATCATGCTATACTTACAGCGTATCATGCTATACTTACAACGTATCATGCTATACTTACAGGATATGCATGAGTTAAGCTACGTTCCGCACGTTGTATTTTTCAATTCACTGACAGTTGCTTGATTACCTCAAAATCAGCTTACAAACCTTTGAGTTTTCAGCTTACAAGACTAAAACACGAGCCTTTGCTTGATTACCTCAAAATCAGCTTACAAACCTTTGAGTTTTCAGCTTACAAGACTAAAACACGAGCCTTGAAATTAAAATATTTCAACCCTATTACAAACCTTTGAGTTTTCAGCTTACAAGACTAAAACACGAGCCTTGAAATTAAAATATTTCAACCCTAATCAACCAGCACATAATAGCACTAAGAACATAACACTATTGAGAACATAACTTTTATTATTGAGAACCAGCACATAATAGCAACTCTCATCAACCAGCATAATAATTCAACCCTCATCAAACAGCACATAATAACACCAAACACATATCACAAGCACATAACACTATTAAGAATAACTTTCATTATCTACTTTCAGTCTAACAAACTGAGAACAATACTTTACAAATCAAACACCCACATATATTTATACACCACAAAATAGTACTCAAAATTTGCATATCGCAGTTGGCATCTAGCATCCGGGAAACATAGCTTGAGGATCACGTTTATATCCTAAAATCAAAAGATATGCGGATTAAAAGAATAGTAGACTGGATATACAAGTTAGCAGTATTTCTAGTAAACTGCATATAACTTTAGATCCTCCCATCAGAAGACCCATAATTCTCCCAACATCTTCAACACCAAAGGAGGTACATTTTCCTACAATTTTGAAACTACTTTTTTCAACATCAAATACTTTCAACAAACAATCCGCTAGAAATGGTTGCATTGGAATATCGGGAACATCCAAATAGCCATAGAATGGACTATCTTGAAGGGCTATCCGATGATCTTCCGACAATGTAGAAGAAATACGATTTTGAAGAAGGTCCCGGAAGTAGCAAATGTTTGATGGAATTCTCACTAAATCCATATGTATGATTTTCTGCTACCAAAGTAAAACATAAACCAACTTTAGTTATCTATCAACATAGTGAAAGTCCATTCTTATTTTTCATGTACACGGGTTATAATGAAACATGGGGAAAAAGATACATATTATATTACAGTTTGAGATAGAAACTTGCAGCTATAAATCCAACGAAACAATTATTTTCTTCTTCTTGCCAGATCTATCAATGAAACTTACAGCTGTGAATCCAAGACTAGATGTCAACATAGAAAACATTTTATTACAGTATAATTATAGCCAAGTCACAAATTAAATTTTCGATAATACCCAAGTCCAAAATTTGTGACGAGCAAGTTGAATCCGATGAAAAAATTATACCTAAGTCAAAAAAAAATCCAAGACTAGATTTCTATTTCTATGGGCTGTAATAAAAGTAACAAATTAATTATACCCAAGTCAAAAATTTCAATTTCTATGAATCTAGTGAAATTTTTTTAGTATAATTGTTTAATTTGTGATTTTTTTCTTGTCCATGAAATACCCAAACCACAAATGATTTCTTTGACTTTAATTACAGTAGAAAAAAATGGAAAATAGAGCTCACCGGCACTAAGGTGTCGGGCGACGGTGAGGTCGAGCTCACGGCGAGGGCAAGTTCACTTCGACTGGACACAGCGGGCGACGGCGACGAAAACGACGGCAAGGTCGAGCTCACGGCGAGGTGTTCTTACTTGAATTTGGGTTCTTACGTCACGGCACTGCAACGATATGAGCTCACTGTGACGATGGCAGCAACAGCGACTGCGAAGGCGACTGTGAGGGTGAGCGCACGGCAACAACTACGGCGATGGGCGACGGTCACGAGAAGGGGGAATCTGGGACTTTCAATTAGGGCTGAGAGATGTTTATGGGGGAAATGAGGAGAGAGAGGTACTGGTTTATATGAGGTATTGAAAGGGGGTATTTTGGGGTTTTTATCATGTTTGTGTATAAATACAAATGTTTTATCTACTGTATTTTAGAAATTAGGTTTAAAGACAAATACAAAAGGTCAATTAGGTTTAAAGATACAAGTAATAGTGATTGGGTTATAGATAAAGTTGAGTAAACAAATAAGCCTAGAAATAAAAACCTCTAAATATTAATAAACAAGTATGTACACGTGTGCAATCGACTTGCACTATATAAGTAATATAAAAAGTTAACTTAGCACATCATAGTCATGAATTAGACAAGAAATCTATGCGATCTTGTGCGTGGGATCCGTTAACGGTAATATGGACGAGATTAAAAATTATTTCACCGGGACCAGAGCAAATGTCAAATCTGATCTTAGGATGAAAGAGTAAGAAAATGCATGCTGAGATCAAATCCAGAAAGCTCTCGTAGCCAAACTCTTCTACTTACTCTTTCCGGTGCAGCCGAGCCTTCACTATTTTATTCATTCATTTTATTTATTTATTTATTTTTCGTGGAGAACCTTGGACAGATAGAGATGGGCTGATGGGGTTACCTGAGATACCCTGAACTTTAGGGATTTCCTTTTGTTTTTATTTATTTATTTTATTTACGGAAGATCAGCATTAAATTTTGGATCAGCATTAAATTTTTGAGCATTTGTAAAGGCTAATTAGCTGATTCCTAGAGCTAAGGATAGAGAGATATCGCGGGTAGGATTTTTAAAGGGAAATTATTTTTGTAGTTTCCTTGCGAGAATCAACAAACTAAAGTTGATTCGATTCTCCTCAAGAACCGGTCTCCTCACCGGCCACGACCGTTTCTCCGCCAAACAAACTCGGTCGCAATCGCGTACGGTAACCTCACCGCCCACAAGCAGTTGGACGGAATTCATATTTTTTATACGCCGTTAGCATCAAGCTCGCCCCTTCGTTTTTTTTTTTCTTTTTCCGAACTGCTCTCCAGTTCCCACCAAAGATACATGTCTCAAATCACCCGGCACTTCTTGCTCATCCGGTCGACCAACCGAGTGACGACCCCGAGAAAAGAAGCCCGGGTGATTTGAGATTATGTTATCTTTGGTTTCTGATGTTGGTCTCTGATTGTACGGCGGCGGCGTTTATTATGGTACTGGCATTTTCAAAGAAGGGACCGACGATTCTAACAATGGCTTGTAGCCTGAGAGAGTGTGAATAAGGTGCAAGCGTGTTCATCTTATTTTCTTCTAGGGGTGGTTCTATATGGACCCCAAATAGGGGACCCAATGGAGGGACATGTGAGCTGTCCCCCTCCGGTGGATGATACACTGTTCATGAAAAATACATCATCCAACTAGAGGGAGACAGCTCACATATCCCCCACTGGATCCCTTATTTGGGGTCTCGGGGGCATTAATCTTCTTCTAGTCAAATTCAGATGTAGGTAGGCCGATTATTAAATACAAGTACCTCATAAAATTTTCTTTCTACAGTCCTAATTTAAGAGCACCAAGCCTAGCATTTTTCTTTCTACAAAAGTTTCTTTCTACAGATCCTAATTTTATTTCTACTGATCTGTGACAGGCAAGATGAGGGGGAAAGGAGAAGAATGCTTCCTTTCCAGGAAAAATGTAGTTTGCCCGGATTTACTTAGATCGAAATTAAGCTCAAATTTACTTAACCTCAGGCTGCCCTGGCACTACTGGTGGCAATGTCTTGTTAAACGCACGTGATATAAAGATTAGAAAATGAAGAAATTATAATTATGATCTCTCAACAAAACATCTCACAATTTCATGGTTAAAAAACAAAAGGAAAAAAGCTTTCAATCCTGTTATTTACACCGAGATACTTGCCGGAAGAGGAAAGGATTCTCAGGTATCTTGTATATTACAGCTATGATCAACGTTCATTCAAACATAGAAACAATCACATTTGATATATTTAAGCACATTACAAAGCTATACATACATAACTTTCTGATACATTTTATGATTTTCTTTTTCTTTTTTTTTTGTAGGCAGAAAAGTTTATATGGTTTCTGATTGCTCAAGCACCTAAACTACATAGTTGAGTAAGTTAAGACTCTTGTCTAAATCATGAACTCAAGCCACTTGAAACCGGTCAAGTCAGGAGATAACCCCATCCCACCCACTCAGCCACTAGCAGTAACAAGAAAGGATAAGATCCTTGTTTCCATCACTCATTATCCATGAGACTGGCAGAATACTAAACCACCAACAAGCAAATTCCAAAACAAACAATTCTCATACTGTATGCAGAGATGGCTTCTCTTAGCTACCACTCACTGCAACTCACCAACATCTGCAACAAGAGGAGTCAGCGGAAAAATGCCAATGACAATGTCACAACATTCATCATCTCTTGCACGATGCAGCAGCCTTCTCAAAACAATATCAAGGTATATTTTTCATCAATGAAGGATACTAAGCAAGTGGATGTACTAAAATCAAAGTGAACGAAGCTCTAAGGTCTTTGATTTTGGTCCATTTGTCTCATGGGAAGAGGTGGTGATCAATGGTGCAACAAAGGACATCGGAAGGGCTGCAATTGTAGCTGTAACTAAGGCCAGAGGGATGGAATTGGCTGGAGCTATCGATACTCGCTTAGTAGGAGAAGACGCTGGAGTGGTTCTCTCTTTTCTCTCGTCTCATTCTTTCCTAGTTTGAAAGATATTTTGATTCTGATGCTACAGCTGATGATGGTATGTATAGATATGTGACATGGAAGAGGCATTGGAGGTTCCAATTCTGAATGATCTTACTATGGTCTTGGGGTCTATATCACAAGTATTATTGAGACCTTACCCATTTATGTTCTTCTCAATCCATTAAAAAATATTTTATATCTTCATTCTTTCTCTGGACAGTCAAAAGCAACAGGAGTTGTCGTCGATTTCACCAATCCATCAACTGTTTATGACAATGTCAAGCAGGTTGTATCTTATTCATAATGGGTAAATTTCACAGGAACCCCTGAAATTTAGGGGATTTTGAACAAAGCGCTCCTAATCTTTGTAAATAAGAGAGAACCTCCGTGAACTTTCAAAAGTATAGCACACAGTAACTCCCCCAATATATTGCAAATTCTCATAAACGACGTTACATGGGTAGAATAAAAGGTCATAAACTGCTGTTTTTTACTTTTTACCGAGTCATGGCTGCGAGGATATATAGGGGTAAAATTGTCTAAATTTAACATCATTAGTCATGGTAGGTATGTGATTATACATGTCCAAGCTGTGGCGTGGGGTTGGGGTGGGGTGGGGGGGCGGGGTTTCCTGATTTACTAAGGTGCACAAATGACATAAACTTCAAGGGAGTTTTCTGCAATTTACCTATTCAATTCTCTAGATTAATCTTTAATGTGTGTCAAGTTACGAAATTAAGGTTCCAACCGGGCTAACATTTTTCTTTCCTGTGCCTTGGTCTTAATCTGATACAGGCAGCAGCATTTGGCTTAAGAAGTGTAGTCCATGTGCCAAAGCTTCAGTTAGATACTGTTAGTGCACTGTCTGGGTTTTGTGAAAAGGCAAGCATGGTGAGCTCAGTTAGAAGCCATAGTGTCTCAAAGTTCTTTTATCCAAAGTTTAATTTGGATTAGAACTTACTTAGCCTTTGGTTTGTAATCGGGTCTCTGCTAGGGTTGTCTTATTGCACCAACGCTCTCAATCGGCTCTGTGCTACTCCAACAAGCTGCCATTTCAGCTTCATTCCACTACAACAATGTAGAGATTGTAGAATCAAGAGCCGATTCAAAGGTAATGGCAATGGATTTGATCAAATGTTTTCATCAGGCAATAGTTGTAAAGAGTTGAGAGGTAACATACATTTGATTTTCTGATTGTAGGATCTTCCTTCGCCAGAAGCAATCCAAATAGCTGACAACCTGTCGAATCTCGGACAGTTATATAACAGAGAAGACATTTCAACTGATGCACCGGTAAGCAGACCAGAAATCCCTGAGAACACAATATATCAGAGAATTTAATAGGGTTAATTGCGTATACACCTCCTGTACTTTTGCCAATTTGAACTTACTCATGTGGTTCTATAGTTGCATATAGACCCCCAGAAAGAATTCTCTTGTTGCAGATTAGACCACCTGAAAAGGGCCAAAAACGTTTTCACTAAGGGGATGTGTCTGCCTGGATAGTAGGTTCAGTTTGCTGATAGTACAGGGGGTCTACCTGCAATTAAACCAATCTAATACGATACACAATGTATAACAGATTACATCTAATTTTTTGTGATCAGAAGCCCTTGTAACCATTGAAGATAGCACCCCTGAAAAGGGCCAAAAACATTTTCACTAAGGAGATCTATCTGCCTGGGTAGTAGGTTAAATTTGGCGATAGTACAGGGGGTCTACCTGCAATTAACCCTATCTAATACCATACACCATATATTACAGATTATATCTAATTTTTTGTAATCAGAAGCCCTTGTAACTGTTGAAATTTTAGCAACTCAGGTAGAGACTTGATAGTTTCAACCAGTAGACCGGATATAAATATGACTCAACATAAGACGCAGGATTTTCAAATTGAAACAATTCATTACTCATATACATTTGATCTAATTTTATGAATGAAGTAGTTTATGTTGTGATTGCAAAGGCAAGGGGGCAGATTCTGGGTGAGGATGGCATCAGAGTCCATAGCTTGGTTCTTCCAGGACTTCCTTCGAACACAACAGTCAACTTCTCAGGTCCAGGAGAGGTATATTATTAGTTTCTTTGCCCGACAACTTTTCTCAAAAGATAGCAATCTGATCAAGTATCACAGGTTTACACCTTGAAGCATGACATCACGAATGTACAGAGCCTCATGCCCGGGCTAATCTTAGCAATCAGGAAGGTGGTACGTCTTAAGGTAAAAAAGAAGAAAGTTTACATCAGTCAGCATGAATATACCAATAGCAGGCCACTAACAACAAGCCTTCTTGCAGAATTTGATTTACGGCTTGGAGAAATTCTTGTAGTAAATCTAGTTTCCTTCAAGAGGAGATTTTGATTCAGTTGCCTCTAATATGGGAAAGGACTCAGCAGATGAAAAGGTTGATTGCATCAGTTCAACCCACTATGTTCGAACCTTCAAGAAAATTTTACCAGGCAATAGAGAGTATGATCCAATTCTTTTGTGAGGGCTCAAGTGAAACAATAAATTGATCAAAAGTCATTTTGCAAAATCAATGAGAAAAAAATGAAGACTGGTAATGCTTGTAAGCAATCATACATATGTGCTAGTCTTTGTGGTAACTAACCCATGATTTATGTGATCTTCAAAGTGTTAATTTTTTTCAATTTTGCAGCTTTCTATCCCTCCCATAGCCGGATTCAATGCAGCTAGTCAATTTAACATAAGAGTGAGAGTTAACAATAACATATAATAAGCAAATCTAGCGCACACAATTGCTGATGATTGATAATACCTAATTGATTCTGGTCCTTACAGTTTGTCTCCTGCTCCAGATGTTGATGAGTTCTCAGGAGGATTCAACCTCGGGAGTATTGTATGCTCAGATTGTATGAAGTATTTTAATAACCATAACTATCTAAACAGCTTATGTCTCTAGCTGGTAACCTAAGGTGACTTGACTTTATTCGATTAGACTATTAGCGCGTGTATGAATGCGTGTTTTGCTGACTACACCTTCCCATGAATATGTACTGAAAATCGTGAGCATGGCTATGACTGTTTTGCTACTTCAAAGTATGCGTGTTCTAAATGAAGCTGCATGGTGTACTTGAGGGCAACAGTTCTTGAAGCATCCATGCCCTCCTATATGTACTAAATCAGATTTTGGTTGGACTTGCTTTAACGATCTTAGGTATTTTTGTCATGTTGATTTGGTGGATTTCTGCAAATGTACTAAAAGATAAAGAATTAACGATAATAAATCTTAATATTTATTAAATTTGCATGGAAAAGCGGTCTAGAATGTCATCTCGAATCTCGTGTCAACCATTGTTTTGAGCCAACGCGCCCAAAGGAAGAATCAAAATGAAAACAGAACAAAATCCATATTAAAGGATGCATTTATCATTAGTTTTTGTATATAACTCTTTACACTCAGATTTAATGGTGGAGGTCACCTAAAATTTTTTAAACCAGTATTTAAAAATGTCACTTCAATGAAAATACATGAAAAAAATCCAAGGTTTTAAATATCGGATGTCAGGTTCATGCCAGATGGCTAAACTTTATGTCGGATAGTGAAAGTCGGGGATATGTCAGGAGACATAAAAAAAATATCGATATAACCGACATGAACCCTAAAAAATGCAATACGTATTGAAAAGCTCCATATTGTGTCAGTTGGCCCCTAAATCCAACATGTCAGCCAACATGTCCAACATGACGGCCAACATTTAAAACATTGATATAATCGTTCCACGATACTCTATTTAAAAAAGAATTTCAAGGATCTTTAAACAGAAATTATGCGAGGAGAGTGATATGGATGGGCTGAAATAGCATGTGTTTAAATAAGAAAAAGAAATTAATGATTGTTGATATCTTGGGATGTGATCAACTAGCGTTATCACGATAATCCACTTTATGCAACATCCTAATTATTATGTACCCATTTTTCCTTTTTAATAATAATCACTTGCAAAATTTTTTGATAAACTCCTAAATAATGATACCTGTAAAATAAAAATCTGAAAAGCCAGTCCATTCTCATACAAGATGAGATACTACAGCGGTTAATCAACCCGTTGGGGAAAATGACCTCTACGATCTACCTAAGAATGGTAACATTCCTCTAATGAATTAATTAGCTTTGATCTTTCACAATGTGATACAAGATGCTATTCAGCCAAAAAAATTATCATGACAAGGGTATGAACAATTCATATAATTTAGAACAAATTAATATCATTTACAAGCTTCCATGTCCGGACATGTGTTTATACTTGAATTTTGTTTGTGATTACTCTTATCCAAGATCTATCTTTTTCACTGTACGCATACTTTGCATTGGACATCAGCAACACAAACCCTTGTATATCAGTTGCGACGTTGTTAATTGAATCAGAAGCACCAGAAAGTGGCTGCACAAGTAGTGAAAGGACTCCCTTAGGTAGTATTCCTCGAAGGCGAATATCTGTATAACGAGCAAATAAATGAGACCTAAGTGAATTTGATGACATCTGGAAGTGGCTACAAGCAAACTATGTCGGAAAAGCCATCTGCTTTGATATCTCAGGAATAGAGAAGAAGTGTTACCTCCCAAATGAGGGTAATCCATTTATTTTAACAAGATTCATAGAAGAAAAATGTTCATCAACAAGCACATACTCCACTTCAGGAGTTTTAAGATTCTAATTGTCTAAAAGGACAGGTCGAAGATTCGAAATTAATAATTTTCCTATGTTTCAACGAACATGAAGTGAGCAATAACTTATTTCTTAAATCTGACTTTGCAGATTGAAGAATGAGAACATTATAAATAGTAGTGAAAAAAAAAATAAAAACAAAGTTATGTCACGCTGCAACATAACAGAAATAAGAGCAAATCATAGCGTAAAGAAATTATATAAAGGCTAAAGCCATCTACAGGGCCAAGCTTGGTAGTGGAAACCATTTTATGTTAATCGATCTTAATCCTTCAGTTGAGTATAAAAATAATAATAAGAAAATGGTGCAAACTCTTGAACAATATACCTGGGTTTTGTGGAAAATAGAGTGCCTCCTTCAGATCAAGAAACCCCAGCTGCTGAATCTGACTTTTAAACCATTCAACTATTTGGTCTTTTGAAAGATTTTCAGGTGTGTTCCAGTAACCACGTAAACAAAACGTGTCTTGAACAACTATGGCCTGGTGAAAGAGAATGAAACCATGAGGTATGTAAGAGATGCTTAAGAGTTGAGACAAGGGACAGACATCATCAATTAGCTGTACTCAAAAACATAATTATTTTCAAAGTAGTGTTAATCTGATTCTTCTATGTGTGTAAAGCTCTTCTTAGAAACCTTGCTTCTTTTCTCCTCTTTGAATTGAGACATCTACTTATTATGTAACATTTATTTGGGAACCACAATTACTCATAGAAACATTTCTATATCTTGAACAGTTTTTCCTTGTTTGTGGTACTAGTAACATCCATCGGTACAATTAAACAATTAATTTTCCTTCCAAAATTAATAAAGTCTGGAAGATACCACTGACATGGTGTTCGTATTCCGCAAAAGAACATACGACTCCCAAGCTAAATCCTCTTTCTGGATACCTGAGAGGTTTTGGGATAAGACAAATATCTGCTTGTTACCTTCTGGTAGAGATGAACGATCAACTGGATTTGCACCCTGCATTATATGTGTACAAATGAAAATAAAAACTAAAGAGAAATTCTTCCAAGAAGAGGAATAAACTGATAGTGAATATGAGAACTTCTGAGGAAGATGTAATTAACATTAGGATCTAAAAGCACAAAAAGAAATAATATATGCATTACTGACCATCGATTAATCAGTTACATGTTCCTAGAAATTCATGTAACTCAAGAGGTTGCTGAAAGTGCAATCTGAATATTAAACTGAGCATTATGACAAGAGTGTCACGCCCCGGGCCCGCGAGCCTCTTGGTGCGATGTAAGCTCTAGGACCCACGAAAATTTAGCTAAATTCACTACCAAAATTGACTAGTCAATGTTGCATGTGACTCCTTGGACTTACATTATAAACCATCTACCACTCAGTCAATGTCTAATGTGAGACTAAATCTTGAGGTATCACAATCACCCCCACTATAATTACACGACGTTCTTATTGCGACATGACAATTGATCCATCACAGTATCACCATCAGGTGATGTGGACTTTAGAGGTGGCCCCTATAGGCTTCTAGAGGTGGCTCTCACTACACTCACACGGTGTAGAACTTAATCCCGCATAGCACTTAGCTCTACATTTCCGGCTGGCTAACTATTCTGATACCATTTTCTAACATATTGGGCCCGCAAACTAGTTGGTGCGATGTAAACTCTAGGACCCACAGAGTGCAACACATAGTATGGCTCAATCCACTACCAAAATTGCCCAATTAATGTTGCACTTGACTCCTTGGACTTACATTACAAACCATGTAATCAATCATTCAATATCTGATGTGGGACAAAATCTTAAGATATCACGGAGAGCAACCTAGCAGAAGATATCTCATTATGTAGTCAAATCAATCTATTAGATGCCTTCACATGAAGTATTATATCAGCTACACATCGCGAATTAGTAAACTAGACTTCGTTGTAGGTCATTTTTCCCATTTAAATAACTATCTAGAAATAGCTAATGCGATCATACTATAGTGAAGTGTCGCTCTATCAACATAAAAGAAGAGAGAACCTCCTCTGAGTCATGACATTCCAATTTTTTTAATCATACATCGTTCTAATATGACTATGGACACAAAGCCTAAGGAGTAGCAATAGGATATTCATAATGAAAAATGTGACCACCGAAACCCCTCCTTTCTCTTAAAGTAATAATCTGCATTATTTCGTTCATCCCTTTTGTAATTTGTTGTTCTACGTATCTACACTCTCTATTAAACTATATAAGTTATTTTGGAGAAGAAAAAGGAAATTACTCTCCATTACTCACCTTTAGAATGTGAGACATTGGGGTAAATTACCTTTATGTTTGTTACCATTTTAACAAATGAGAGGAGCTCAGAGCTCCTATCTCTTCTTCTCTTCAAATTCTTTATCTATAAAATTGCAAATCCTAGATCCATCCCTCAACATGTGAAACCTTATATTCATCTCTATTCATAATCTTCTTCATGAATTATCTTCACCAATTTCTTTCTTGAGATGACACTTAGGTTGAATAAAAACATGAAGATTTTGGAAGTTTTCTAGGTGTAATAAGATGAAAAGATAGAAGGGAATCAGAAAGCAGTTGGAGATAATACAATAGGATGGTAATGGAGTCATTCCATGACACAGGTGTTAAAGGATTAATAGAGGAGATAAGATTTTAAGGATGAAGATAGAGAGATTAACAATGAAGAAGGGTGAAAAAGGATAGCATTTTTAAGTTGGACTTCAGGTCCTACTTGCCCCCTACACTATTA